CAGATACAGACAAAGCATATGGGAGACTTGGAAAGGAAAGAGGAATGAAGAATGAGTCTTGTCTTTGCTTGGGGCCTGGGGTTTTAATTGAAGATTATGGTCTGGTGCATGTGTGTTCTCAGCCATCCAGGAACAAAGATGAGTGTTTGTTCCTAAGTCACTTATGCCCTGGAGTCAGGGGTCTTGGTGAGTCAGTGGTCTTGGAAAATGTTCATGACGTGACGACCCTGCCTGGTCACTCCTTAGATGTTATCTGTTGTGCTGGAAGACTCCAAAGAAATCATTAACTCCTTGACCTTTACCAGGAGGACATACATTATCTGTTCTATAAGCCAGGTCCTAGCAAAAATAGAAGCAGGAAAAGGAGCAAAAAAGCAGTCCTTCATGGGGTCCCTTCCGTTTCCCTGTCTCACAGTGACCATCTATAGTTAGTGATTTTGAAATCTGCATGTAATGATATGAAGACAGTGTTATTCACCAGAATTCCTTTTTAAAAAGGAGAGCTGTTTTTGCTAGGAAAATACTGCAATTACTAATAATGGTGAGACAGTGAAGTTGGAGGCATGGGCCGGGTCACTCTTAGTAAGCGAGGCAGCGTTTTGGTTGTTGTTGAGCCAGACAGAAAGGGGACTAGGAAGAGAGGAAGACAGGACATGGGACCAGTGAGGTGATGGGAGACTGCAGCACCCATCTCGAGTACATTCCTCATCTCGAGTACATTTGTGCAAGTTATGCAATATCTGGGTCCGGAAACTTGGTGAGCCCGTGAAGGGGCCAGGCTTCCCTTCATATGGATATGCTGAAGTAGCCTGGTGGGTGCAGAAATAGAGAAGTGGAGATCATTAAGGCCTTGAGCCGCCAGAAGTTACAGGAAGTTGTAGGAAGGGCTTTTAAGCAGGAGTTAGAGAGTTGGGCCAAATTCAACCAGATTTTTAAGTTTTAGAGGGCTCCTGCTGATAGATAAATGATAGTAAGAAACACTCATAAGTAATTATTATTCCCATTTCACTGATAAGGAAGTTGAGACACATAACAATGACATAACTTGCCTCGAATCACACAGTAATTTGAACAGTTGGGATGAAAGTATAATATGAATTCTCCAAAGGTTATGCTCTTTGGTCTCTGTTATATGGTCTATGCTAAATTTAAGTTTTGATGATAAATTTATAGCATTTCAGAAAAATTTTAACAAAGGTAATTAGGAACTATGAAATTCTAGCAATGTGTCATTTTAATTTTTTTTTAAGATTTATTTATTTATTTGAGAGAGACAAAGAGAGAGAGAGAGAGAGAATGAGCAGGGGGAGGGGCAGAGGGAGAGGGAGAGAGAGAATGCACAGGCAGACTCCCTGCTGAGGGTGGAGCCTGATGCGGGCCTCTATCCCAGACCCTGAGATCAAGACCTGAGCCAAAACCAAGAATCGGCTGCTTAATTGGCTGAACCACCCTGGTGCCCCTGCATTGTGCCTTTTTTTTAATGGATTCAACACCACTTTTTTAAAGCCATCAATTGTTCATGTTACTTCTGGCTTAAAACCCTTTGGAGGTGAAGGATCAAGTCCCAGGCCCTTGCCAGGGCATCCATCTGACCTGGGCCCCCAGGCCACAGCTCCAGTTTCAGATCACACCACACTCTGCCTCTGTCTGAATTCCAACTACACTGATTTCTTCAAAGCCACCACTGTGTTCTTGCATTCACCTCCACCCCCTTGTCAGAAAAGAAAAAAAACAAAAAACAAAAAACCTTTCACAGAACTAAATCCTGCTCATCTTTCAGATTCCCGTGTAAATATTTCTTCTTCATTGCAGCCTCTCCTAACTACCTGCCTGCTTCCCCTCCAGTTTAGGTCATGTCCTCTTGTTACCTATTCTCATAGCTCCTTGTCCTGCTCCGTTGTCAGTACTTGTCTTTGGTTGTGGCTATAAATCTCTGTGTTAGTAATAGAATCTCTTGTTGTCTTAATGAGAGGTAGGGGAATTGTAGGGGTTACCAGGGAGAGTGATGGCCGCCTGGGTTCAAGCTTCAGTTCTGCCATTTATTAACAGGAAGGGCCTGGCCCTATTACTTAAGATCTCTCTGTCTTGCTTCCCTCTTCTGTATAATGGGCATGGTACAATAGGACATACTTCTGGGAAAGAGCTGTTTCTCTACACTCTTACACAGAACACTTCTGACACCAGATGTGTGTGTGTGTTTCCACAACAGTACAGTTCACTTCTCTGTGGAACATCGACTGAATGTCCTACAGTTTAACTGAATCATGACACTAACTGCTTGGAGTTAGAACAAACCTCACACATTAAGGGTTCAGTCCCACAAGACTGCCCCACTTCAGATGCTAATAAAAATGGTGGGTCCCCGGGTTACCCACGACTTCTGTTGGACTTGGCTACAAATAGAGGTCCCCATAACCTCAGGTTTGATATTTTACTAGAATGGCATACAAAACTCCAGGAACATTTACTTACATTTCCTGGTTTATTATAAAGGATACAGATGAAGAGGTACGTAGAGTGAGGTCCAGAAGGTTCCTTGAGTGCAGGAGCTTCCGTCCCTGTGGACTTGGGTCTGTCATCCTCCCAGCACATGGATGTATTCACCAACCTGGAAGCTCATCAAATCTCATCTTTCAAGAGTTTTTATAGAGCTTTATTATTTAGCTCCCTACCCCAACCCTCTTCTTGAAGGTCAGTGGCTGGAGCTGAAATTTCCAACCCTTTAAATCATTTGGTCTTTCTGGTGACCAGCCCTATCATGAGGCTATCTGGGACTTCATCCTAAGTCACCTCATTTGCATAAATCAGGTGTGATTAAAATGACTTGTGGATAACAATAGACACTTCTATCACTTAGGAAATTCCAAGGGTTTTAATGAATTCTATACAAAAACCAAGTTTAACAAAGGATGCTCTTATTACCTGTATTACTCAGGATATTACAAAGGTTTTAGGAGCTCTGTCACAGGAACTGGGGAAGAAGACCAAATCTGTATTTCTTTTTTTTTTTTTTTTAAGCTTTTATTTTAATCTCTCGATGCTCACCAAAAGTGCCCTCCTTAATCCCCATCACCTATTTCACCCATCCCCCAACCCACCTCCCCTCTGGTAACTATCAGTTTGTTCTCCTTAGTTAGGAGTCTCTTTCTTGGTTTCTCTCTCTCTCTTTCCACTTTGTTTGTTTGTTTTGTTTCTTAAATTCCACATAAGAGTGAAATCATACGGTATTTGTCTTTCTTTGGCTGACTTATTTCACTCACTATTATAGCTCCATACATGTCATTGCAAATGGCAAGATTTCATTCTTTTTTACAGCTGCATAATATTCCGTTGTATATATATACCACATCTTCTTTATCCATTCATCAGTTGATGGATACTTGGGCTGCTTCCATATCTTGGCTATTGTAAATAATGCTGCTATAGGGGTACATGTATCCCTTTGAATTTGTATTTTTGTATTCTTTGAGTAAATACCCAGTAGTACAATTGCTGGATTGTAGAGTAGTTCAATTTTTAACTTTTTGAGAACCTCCATACTGTTTTCCAGAGTAGCTGCACCCGTTTGCATTCCCACCAACAGGGTAAGAGGGTTCCCCTTTCTCCATATCCTCTCCAATGCCTGTTGTTTCTTGTGTTTTTGAGTTTAGGCATTCTGACCAGTGTGAAGTGATATCTCATTGTAGTTTTGATTTGCATTTTTCTGATGATAACTGAAGATAAGCAACTTTTCATGTGTCTGTTGGCCATCTGTATGTCTTCAGAGAAACCTCTGTTCATGTCTTTGGTCCATTTTTAAATTGAATTATTTGTTTTTGGGGTGTTGAATTGTTTAAGTTCTTTATATGTTTTGGATACTAACCCTTTATTGGATAAGTCATTTGCAAATATCTTCTCCCATTCAGTAGGTTGCCTTTTATTTTTGTTGATTGTTTCCTTCTCTGTGCAGAAACTGTTTATTTTGATGTAGTCCAATAGTTTATTCTTGCTTTTGTTTCCCTTTCTTCAGGGGACTTATGTAGAAAAAAGTTGCTATGACCAACGTCAGAGGAATTACTGCCTGTGCTCTCTTCTAGGATTCTTATGGTTTCAGGTCACACATTTAGGTATTTTGAATTTATTTTTGTGTATGGTGTAAGAAAGTGGTCCAGTTTCTTTCTTTTGCATGAATTGTGATGCCTCCAGTTTTGTTTTTCTTTTTCACAATTGCTTTGGCTATTCAGGGTCTTTTGTGGTTCCATACAGATTTTAGGATTGTTTGTTCTAGTTCTGTGAAAAATGCTGTTGATATTTTGATAGGGATTGCATTAAATGTATAGATTGCCTTGGGTAGTATAGACATTTTAACAATATTTGTTCTTGCAACCCATGAGCATGGAATATCTTTCCATTTCTGTGTCATCTTCAATTTCTTTCATCAGTGTTTTATAGTTTTCAGAGTGCAGGTCTTTCACCTCTTTGGTAAAGTTTATGCCCAGGTATTTTATTATTTTTGGTGCAATTGTAAATGGGATTGTTTTCTTAATTTCTCTTTCTGCTGTTTCATTCTTAGTGTATAGAAATGCAATGGATTTCTGTGCATTGACTTTGTATCCTGCGACTTTACTGAATTCATTTTTCAGTTCTAGTAGTTTTGTGGTGGAGTGTTTAGGATTTTCTATATAGAGTATAATGTCATCTGCAAATAGTGAAAGTTTTACTTCTTCCTTACCAATTTGGATGCCTTTTATTTCTTTTTGTTGTCTGATTGCTGTGGCTAGGACTTCTGTACTATGTTGAGTAAGCAGTGAGAGTGGACATCCTTCTCTTGTTCCTGACTGTAGCGGAAGAGCTTTTAGTTTTTCCCCATTGAGGATGGTGTTAGGTATGGGTTTTTCATATATGGCCTTTATCATGTTGAGGTATGTTCCCTCTAAATCTACTTTGTTGAAAGTTGTTTTTTTTTTTAAACTTCGACAATTTATTGAGAGGCCCCCCTCCTCGCCCACACAGTCTCTAGGTCACTTTTTCCTCTTGTAGATCTTGTGTGCCAGCAGCAGGAAGATGGCCGGGGGCAGGGGCAAGGCATACTGCTCGATGAGGCCCAGAAGGTGGCCGTAGCTGTCTTCCTCATACTGCGTGAACACGGCGGGCATGTTCAGCTCCTCGTACAGCGCCTTCACCCGGGTCACCTTCTCCGCCTCCTTCTGTCCGTGATTCTCCTGAAAGAGCTGACGCTATTTCGGAGCGGCCCGCTGCAGACACTGAACCACCAGCCAGCTGCATTTGTTGTCCTGGATGTCTGTGCCAATCTTGCCTGTCACACTGGGGTCCCCAAAGAGGTCGAGGTAATCGTCCTGAATCTGAAGAACTCCCCCATCTCCAGCAGGATCTTCTTGGCATTGGCATGCTCTTTCTCCCCATCGATGCCCGCCATGTACATGGCAGCCACCACAGGAAGAAAGAACGAGTAGAAAGCGGTCTTGTACTTGACCATAGATTTGTACCTCTTTTCAGTGAATCTGCCAAGATCCACATTGCCCTGGGGGGCTGTGATGAGGTCCAGGGTCTGTCCGATCTCGGTCTGATAGGAACTCTGAAGGAAAAGCTCTATCAGGTTCAGGTAATGGGGCTGCTCCCAACAGTAGAGCTTCAGCTGGCGGTAGATACACTCTTCATAAGCAAAGCATCATTGATGGCATCCAAACCTATGCCTGGCTTCTGATACCAGCAGATCTGCCCCCGGCAGGTGAGGGATGAGTCCATGATGTCGTCGGACACCAGGAAGAAAGCTTGGAGCAGTTCCACACACCAGCCCACAGTCAGGGTCCGCCGGAGACTATCGGCATCCTGCTTCCTTGGCTCTACCAGCTCCTGAAATGCTATCAGCACAGTCAAACCCCGCTGGCACTTGCCACCAATCACCTTGTACTCCAAGACCTCCTTGAGCCGGGCAATGGTGTCTCCGGTCTCCGGGTGGCCCACGCCATCCTCGGTCAGCACCTTGACAATCTGGGAGAAATGCTGGATGAAATCCTGCTTTGCTTGGGCATAAGGGTCCAATTTCTGGTCTCCATTCATTCTGAGGGAGTAAAGTGCTCTGCTCCTGGATGCCGGCTCTTCCTACTTTGTTGAAAGTTTTTTATTATGAATGGATGCTGTACTTTGTCAAATGCTTTTTCTGCATCTATTGAAATGATCATATGGTTCTTATACTTTCTCTTACTGATGTGATGTATTGTGTTGATTGATTTGCAAATATTGAACCACCCTTGCAACCCAGGAATAAATCCCACATGATTGTGGTGAATGATTTTTAAAAATCTATTGTTAGATTCATTTGCTAGTATTTTGTTGAAGATTTTTGCATCTATGTTCATCAGAGATATTGGCCTATAGTTCTCTTTTTTTGTGTGGTGTCTGTATCTCGTTTTTTATCAGGGTAATGCTTACCTTGTAGAATGAATTTGGAAGTTTTCCTTCCTTTTCAGTGTTTTGGAATAGTGTGAGAAGAATAGGTATTAACTCTTTTTAAAATGTTTGGTAGAGGGGTGCCTGAGTGGCTCAGTCAGTTAAGTGTCTGACTCTTGATCTCAGCTCAGATCATGGTCTCAGGGTTGTGAGATTGAGCCCCGAGTTGGACTCTGCATTGGGCATGGAGCCTGCTTAAGATTCTCTCTCTCTCTCCCTCTCTAAATAAATAAATAAATAAATAAATAAATAAATAAATAAATAAATAAATAAATCGATCGATCAATCGATTGGTAGAATTCACCTGTGAAGGCATCTGCTCCTGGACTTCTGTTTGTTGAGAATTTTTTGATTACTGATTCAATTTCTTTTCTGGTTATCAGTCTGTTCAAATTTTCTGTTTCTTCCTGTTTCAATTTTGATAGTTTATATGTTCCTAGGGATTTATACATTTCTTCTAGGTTGTCCAGTTTATTGTTGATTTGTTTTATAATATTCTCTTATAATTGTTTGTATTTCTGTGGTGTTGGTTGTTATTTCTCCTCTCTTATTTGTGATTTTTATTTATTTGGGTCCTTTCTCTTTTTTTCTTGATAAATCTGACTAGAAGTTTATCAATTTTGTTGATTCTTTTCAAAGAACCAGCTCCTGGTTTCATTGATCTGTTCTTTTTTTTTTTTTTTTTAGTTTCTATATCATTTATTTCTGTTCTGTTTAATATTTCCTTCCTTCTGCTGGTTTTAGGTTTTGTTTGTTGTTCTTTTTCTAGCTCCTCTAGGTGTATGGTTAGATTGTCTATTTGAGATTTTTCTTGCTTCTTGAGATAAGCCTGCATTTCTATAAACTTCCCTCTTAGAACTGTTTTTGCTACTTCTAAATGTTTTGAACAATTTTGTTTTCGTTTTTTTTTTTTTTCCATGTACTTTTTAGTTTCTTCTTTTATTTCCTGGTTGACCCATTCATTGTTTAGTAACATGTTATTTAACCTGCGTGAATTTGTGGTCCTTCCAGATTTTTTCTTTTGGTTGACTTCTAGTTTCATAGCATTGTGGTAAAAAAAGATGCATAGTATGACTTCGATCTTTTTGAATTTGTTGAGGCTTATTTTGTGGCCTAATACGTGATCTGTTCTGGAGAATGTTCCATGTACATTTGAAAAGAATGTGTATTCTGCTGTTTTAGGATGGAATGTTCCGAATATATCTGTTAAATCCATCCAGTCCATTGTGTCATTCAAAACTATTGTTTCCTTGTGGATTTTCTGTTTAGATGATCTGTCTATTGATGTAAGTGGGGTGTTAAAGCCCCTACTATTACTGTATTATTACCGATTAGTTCCTTTATGTTTGTTATTAACTGTTTTATGTATTTGGGTGCTCCCATGTTGTGTGCATAAATGTTTACAGTTGTTATATCTTCTTGTTGGATTGTCCCCTTTATTATTATATAGAGTCCTTTGTCTCTTGTTACAATCTTTGTTTTAAAGTCTATTTTGTTCCACATAAATATTGCTACTCTGGCTTTCTTATGACATCCATTTGCATGATAAATGTTTCTCAGTCCTCTCATTTTCTATCTGTAGGTGTCTTTAGGTCTAAAAAGAGTCTCTTGGAGGCAGCATATAGATGGGTCTTATTTTTTTTATCTATTCTGTCACCTTGTGTCTTTTGATTGGAGTGTTTATTCCATTTACATTCAAAGTAATTACTGATAGATATGTATTTATTGACATTGTAGTACTTGTTTTGTGGTTGTTTCTGAAGACTTTCTCTCATGGTTTTCTTGTTTCTTTAGTGATATATTTTGACTTCTGTCTTTTTATTCTTTGCATATTTATTAGTGGTTTTTTATTTGTGGTTACCATTACAGTAGTATATGACATCTTCTGCATATAGCAGTCTATATTAGGTTGATAGTTGTTTAAGTTTGAACCCATTCTTTACTCCTCTCCTCCCCATGTTTTAGGTATAAGGTGTCATATTTTACATCCTTTTATTTTGTGAATTACTTGACTGATTTTTTACAAAAATATGAATTTTTACTGCTTTTTTGTTTCCTACCTTCATACTGTTGTTTTTGGCCCTTCTTTCCACTCAGAGTCCATTTTAATATTTCTTGCAGGGCTGGTTTAGTGGTAATGAGCTCCTTTAGTTTTTGTTTGTCTGGGAATCTCTTTATCGCTCCTTCTATTCTGAATAATAGCCTTGCTGGATAGAGTATTCTTGAATGCAGGTTTTTTCCATTCAGCCCTTTGAATATATCATGCCACTACTTTCTGGGTTGGAGAGTTTCTGCTGAAAAATCTGCTGGTAGCCTTATGGGGTTTCCTTTACATGTAACTGTCTTCTTCGGTCTTGCTGCTTTTAATATTTTTTATCATTATATTTTGCCATTTTAATTACAAATATGTCTTGGTGTGGATCTGCTTTTGTTGATTTTGTTGGGGGGTTCTCTGTGCCTCCTGGATCTGGATATCTGTTTCCTTCCCCAGATTAAGGAAATTTTCCTATTATTTCTTCAAATAAATTCTCTGCCCCCCTTTTTCTCTCTTCTTCCCCTGGAACACCTATAATACAAATGTTATTACATTTGATGGTGTCACTGAGTTCCCTAAGTCTATTCTTATTTTGCGTAATTCTTTTTTCTCTCTTTTGTTAAGCTTGCTTACTTTCCATTACTCTGTCTTCTAGGTCATTGATTTGTTCCTCTGCTTTTTCCAGCCTGCTGTTCATTCCTTCAAGCATGTTTCTCATTTTGTTTATTAATCCCTTTATCTTTGCTATGTTATTTCTTATCTCTGTGTTAATGGTCTCACTGATGCTCTTCACTCTTTTCTCCAATCCAGTGAGTATCCTTATGATCATTCCTTTAAAATCTCCATGAGGCATATTACTTATATCTGTTTCATTTAGATCTCTGGCTGTGGCCTTGTCCTGTTCTTTCATTTGGGACAAATTCCTCTGTCTTCTCATTTTGTCTACATCTCTGTCCTCTTTCTCTGTGTTAGGAAATTCAGCTATGTCTCCTGTTCTTGAGAGTAATGGCTTTATGAAGAAGAGGTTCTATAGGGCCCTGCAGTGTAGTGTCCCTTGTTCCCCAGGGCCTAGTGCTTTTGGGAGTGTCTCCCTCGTGTGCTGTGTGCATGCTGCTGTTGCATCCTGGCCTCTTTATTCTTCAGGCCAGAAGTCTGCAGAGGCTCTCTTTACCCATTGTGGGCAATGTTTGGTCCTTATCTTGAATGTGGCTCATCTTAACTAGGTGTGCTCTGGTCTGCTCATGGAATGAGACCTATTGCCACTGCACCAGAACCGAGGCCTTACAAAACTCCCTGGTTGGGAGACACGGTGTTGGCAGGAGTTTGGGCTGGTCTTCTGAGGGAGGGGGCCCACCATGCTTGAACTGAAGCAAGTATGACTGGGAAGGGCAGTTCCACCAGAGCGTAGGGGGGCGGGGCTTGGTGTAAGCAAGTTAGGTAGTGGTTGTGCTGGTTTCTGTAGGTGATTCTGTGTTTATGCTGATGGGTGGGGAAGGGAAATGGCGCCAGTCAGTTCCTTTGTTCCTGGAATGGTCTCTCTGTGAACACTGCCTCTCTGGGACACGGTTCAAGAAGAGCAAATAACCTCCCCACTGTGTGCCCCAGGCACTCCTCAGATCACTATTTCCATGCTGTATGGCCATTGGATGTTTGCCCTGTGTTTTCTACAAGAGTAGCCCCAGTACCCTCCAAGCTCCCCCAGAGCCAAGCATGGTGACCTTTTAAACTCTAGGCTTTAAGGCCCTCTGGTTGCAAGAACTCAGGAAATTCAGGCCCTCTTGCTTTCCAAGCCAATTGCTATGGGCATTCATTTTCCTTGTGTGCTCTTCCATGTGTCAGTCTGTCTCTCACCTTTTCTGTGACCATAACTCCCTCCCCACTGCAGTGGCCATGATCTTTCTCCACATCTCATCTCCACACTTCCTAACTTCTTTGATGAGGCTTCTTCTCTACCTTTAGTTGTGGAATTTGTTCTGCCAGTCTTCAGATCAATTTCTGGGGTAATTAGGATGATTTGATAATTATCTAGTTGTATTTGTGGGATGAGGTGAGCTTAGGGTCCTTCTACTCCACCGCCATCTTCCTTCCCTAGAATCCAAATCTATATTTCTTATTATACACTACTTCATATGCATGTTGTGAGAATTAAATGAGTCAGCTCTATGGAGTGCTTTGTATAAAGGGGATCACTCTTAAATTTAGATGAAAAGCAGACTGTCAAAATAGGTTACTTGGGGGTAGGGCAAATTGAAAGATGAACTAGATATGCATAAATACATACGTGTACACTTCTTTTTAGTGTTGACAGAAATTAGTAGGCTCAGAGATAAACAGATTGAAAATATCGTATTGTAATACAATTTCTTCTTTGTGGCTGAATAATATGGTCATTAAAGCACAAGTTAAAAAAATGGGTTTTAGAATCCACTGATCTACTTGATGAATTATGTGTAATTATTGCTTGTTAGCCAGCATGAACAGAAGGTTATTGCTGTTGAAGGTCAAAAACTTAAAATAATAAATTCAGTTAAGGGAAAACATATTGATAGTGTCCAGAATGCAGTATTTTATCTGTTTAAAAGTGTGAGCCACATGATATACCCTAATCTA